TTGCACGCCTCGCCCCACCCCCCCCGCTGCCTCCAGCTGCCCACAGTGCTTCCCGCTGGCCAGCAGGGGGCTGTGGGGCCTCGGGCAAGGAGAGCAGCCCATGCTGGCAGAGGGGACCCAGGCTCTGCTGTGGGGCTCTTGCCCCACTAACGCTGAGTCTCCTGCTCTCCCTGGAGCTGCTCTTCCTGGCTGGGGCCATGTGTGGGTCCAGTGTCCTTCATTCAGACCTGTCTTGGGGGCTTCGGTGGCACTCAAAGGTGGAGGCTTCTGTGCAGGACATTGGAGAGAAGGGGCCACCTCTCACCCCTCAGTAGGAGTGGCTCCAGGGGGTTGGGCGCCAGCTGCTGCCAAGCTCTGCTGCTGCCTACCGTGGGACCCTGGGGCCGTCCCTGGCCCTCTCAAGAATCCCATACAGACTCTGGGGCCCAGGAACACCCCCAGCTGAGAGAGACTAAAGGGAGACCGAGGCCCAGGTGGGCAGCTTGGTGGAGGGAGTGCAGCTCCCGGACAATGCGGGGACCGAGGGGAGGACCCCCAGGGCCAGTGCCCTGTGATGGGGAGGAGGTAGCTGCTGCCTGGTGCAAAACTGGGCACTATGAGCATGCATGTGGTGTCCCCCCAGACAGCAAGGAAACTGAGGCACAGGGAGAGCCCACCCTGTGTCCCCTGCCCCTCTCCTGGCAAAACCTTTGAACAGAGTCCTGGTCCAGATCAGGCCCTGGACTGAGCACTGGGAGGGGAGCAGCATCCCGGGGGACCACTGGATGATGCCAGGATGATCATGAGCCCCCTGCTCCTGGTACCCACTGATCATTTCATGGCCTCCTCAAAGGAGAAGTGGATTAGACTCCTGCTCTCAGGCTCCTGCTCACCGCCGAGCCCTCCCAGCTGCCCAGCCAGGCTGCTCTAGAGGACAAGGACGGAACTCAGCTTAAATGCCCAGAATGGAGGCCGAGGAGATCAGAATCTTAGCAAATTAACACGCGTGGCGGGGTTTAATCACCACCTTTAATCGCAGCGGTGCTAACGGAAATCTTCTCCCGCTGGGCATGGGGGCGGGCTAGGGTGTGAATGGATTATTTATTAGGACCTGAACTTGGGTTTTACTGAGCTTCAGGGGGAGCTGTCCACACCAGGGATGTGGCGGCCGACTCTGGGCCCCTCCCTCGGTCCCTCCTAGGTTCCCACTCTCAGATCTTTGGTTTTTGTCATCTTTTTTCCCCTCTTGCTCTCTGCCTCAGTTTCTCCTTTGGGGGGATTTGGGGCCATTGACCCTTTCCTTGTGGGAACTGTCCAGGGACACACAGCCTGGGTGTGGGGCACCTGACAGCCAGCACCATTCTTGCCTCTGGGGCACGGCTGCCCTTCTTGGTGGCTGACCCTGCCATGGCTGTGCTACCATGGCCAGCAGGAACTTGCTCCAGGCACTGCCAAGAGGCTCTTCTGAACCAAGTGGCCTGTGGGAGACAGGTCCTGGCAGGGCACCGTGAGCAGCAGGAAGGGGCAGATGCCCTCCAGGACACTGGCAAGGCCTAGGGTTTTCCTGGGCTAGGCTCTTGCCCTCTCCCCTTCACTCTGGGGCCCTGACCTGGCATGAGGCCATCACAGAGAGGTGGCATGGCTCTGGGAACACATTGGCAGCCCATGCCCTCTGTTCAGGTCCATTCATTGGCCTAGTCTTCCAGGCTCTGGCTCCAGTAGTTCCCCTGGCTACCTGCACACCACTGGGATGGAAGGTTCAGGTCATGGGATGGGCTGTGGGTGACCATCGCTCACGGGCTGGCAGAGGGAGTGTGTGACAGGTGCTGGGCACACAGGTCTGGTCCCAGATGTCCTGCCTGAGGCCCGTGGGCAGAGCCTGGCAAGGTAGACTCTGACCCTGTGTACGGGACAGGACCTTGACCAAAACACTGTACCCTGAGGTTGTACCCAGTGTCCCTGAGACCCCACACACCTGCAGCCAGGGGCCAAGGCCCATGGAGGACACGGGAGCAGCCTCAAGGAGCTTCCCCCAGGGGCACCTGGGACTGGGCTTCCCCTGACCAGGCCACCTTGGCTGCTTCTTGAAGCCTCAGTGCTCTGGGGCCCATCTGGGGTAAGGAATTCCTAGGACTGGGTTAGCGGGGCTGCCAGAAGGGGCACATGGCTCCACCCATGGGGACACACACCTGCCCCTGGGGGAGCGAGAGGAGGGCGGTGGACAGCGGATGTTGCTGGAGCCAAGTGAGAGGAAGCTTCAGCTGGCACTGCCTCCCCTCTCGGCCTCTGAGCCGGCTGGCTCAGTGCCCGCCTGGTACCTCCACCCTCCAGCTTGCGCAGATTTTGCCCACAGCAGCTTGGCAGCAGAAGCAGGGCCACCAAGGGTTAAGGGTGGGTGGGGCTCCTGCAGGAGGGGCGGTCCCCAGGCTGTGGCTCCTCCTGCACTCCCCTCCCCTCTCTCCCTTCAAGGTGGCAGCAGCGGCGGGCGGCGGGCAGCGGCGGCAGGCTTTGAACCAGCATGGGTGCTGCGTGCGGGGAGCCCTGGCTGAGGCTGGGGCGCAGGGGGCAGTGGAGGCTGGCACAGGGTACTGGCCCTCTGTGGCTGTGCTGGTAACTGAGATTGGTCCCCAGGGGCCATGGAAGAGCCTGGGCCACTTGGTGGGCTCAGCCAGGACCAAGGTAAGGGGGCGGGAGGATCCCTGGAAGGGGAATGTGCTGTGCAGGTGGGGACCCAGGCCAGAGCTGGGCATTGGTCCGGGGCAGTGACCCCATTCCTACCCACTGCCACACAGATCCTCACCCCTCCTGCCCTGGGCTGGCACCTTGCAGTGAGAGACCCCTGCAGAGGGCAAAGAAGTCTTGGGCAGGAGGAGCTGACCCCAGCCATGCCGACACCTTCCCTGACCCCCAGCTGCCCCAGGGGTTGCGGCTGCCTGGGGGGCAGGTCCAGGAGTGTGGGGTGTGGGCTCCAGTACTCTCCTGGCCTGACCCAAGCGCCCTGGCCCTGGCTCCATTCAGCACCACGGACAGGGCAGCCGCCTTCCTGTCAAGCTGCAGTTCATTGCGAGGCCCTTGAGGTTCCAGCTCAGCTCTGCCCCACTTTCCTGACCTGAAAGCTGGGCAGTGTTTTGGGCAGGCGGGCAGCGTGAACAACTGGGTGCAAGAACCCAAGGCTGCTTGGGGCGTGAGGGGGCTGTTCATGGGGCATCTGCACAGGCACCTTCCTCATTGGCTGAGCAGAGCAGAGCTTCTCCGCCAGGGACTCCATCTGCCCCAGATGCGGTGCCAGCTCTGGGCCAGGGGCAGAAGAGGCCAGTGGAGAAGGGGTCCCAGGACAGTGGGGGCCAATTGGCCGAAAAGCAGAGAGAACTTCCTGATCAAGGCTAGCTTTCCAGGAGGGAGGAGCACACCCCTGACCATTTGTTTGGACCCTGGTTGTTCTGGACAAAGCTTGTTCTGCTGCTGACCAGTATGGGTGTGGGAGAGGCTTTGGGGAGCTTGGAGGGCTGTGTGACCTCGCATGGGGCACCTGCCTTCTGTGAGCTCCATGGATGAGATGGGCAGCGGGGGCCACCTCTCTTGGGCAGCTTGCAAACATGGGAAGCTGGTCTGTCTGCAGGGTCATGTGTACCTGGCCTGTGCCTGTCCCTCCCCTCTTGGCTGAGTGGCCCTTTATGAGCGGGGAACAGTGAGTCGGGTGTGGACACACATTGGCCCTCATGGGAATGACAGGCTGTGAATGGGTACACCCCTCCCTGACCATAGCCCTCCCCTGCGGGTTGAGGACACCTGACTCGTGACCGGCAGGTTCGGCCACCTTGGGGGAGCTGCAAGAGCATGGTCCTTGCACTCTCATGTATGCTTGGATGCAGCAGATGGGGCTGGCGTCCTGGGTCCGGCTCTCCATCTGCACCGCTAATGAACTGATGACGAAGTTTCCCAGTGCCTGGCATCTTCCCCTGGAGAGCTGGGCAGTGCCTTTTGCAGAGCAGGTGTGGGGTTCAGGAGGCCTTTCGGGGGCCAGTCTGGCAGCCCTGCTATCGATGAGGCTGCTGGGGAGGGCAGGAGGGATGAGTAATCAGATGTGCCTGTTTTTCCTGGAGTTTGCTTCCAGCACAGCGCACATGGGCTCTTGGCCGGCTGGACAGACTTCCTGTGTGGGAAAAGTGGGAGCTGCCTGGGAAGCTGCCTCAAGCAGCACCTTGGGATGCAGGTCCCACACCAGCCCTGCAGTGGTGACCCTGGCCTTTCATGGGTCACAGGAGAAGAGAGTAGGCTCCTGGGGCGAGAGTACCCTCCAGCTCTGCCCAGAGGATCCAGTAGGCTTTGGGTTCTGGAAAGCGCTGTCTTGGCAGTGGGCCACCTCATCATGGGCTGGCCCTGCTCAAGAGCACAGCCCAGGGGTGCCTGAGGGACTCGGGGCATTGCAACCTGAGGCTAACAGTGGGGTCCCTGTACTTAGTGGTCCATTCCCTCCTGAAGCTGCTGGCCACTGGGGTCAAGCTGACTGTGACTGGCTGGGGTGCAGGCCACCTAGCACTCAGAGGTGGCCAGAGCCACTTTGGTTCAGCACAGCAGGTAGCTGGTGGGGACAGAGTGGGGAGAACCTCATCTGTCCCCCATAGGCTGAGATGCAGGGATGGGGCAGCCAGCCAAGCATCAGGCTGGTGTGGAGCAGGTGGGTGCCTGGACAGGGCTGGACAGGACTGGCAACTCATGCTGTGCCGGGAAACTTTAGGACGTCAAGCTTGGGGGCCAGCTTGGTTCCAGAACATGTTCTGCTGAGGTTCCCCAGCCCTTGCCCAGCTGGCTGTAGTGGCCCAGGGCTGAGCTGTGACCCTCAGGGGCTCTGCTGGCCATGTCCTCCACCCCAGAGCTCTAGTCTAGCCATGCTCTCTGGAAAGCCCCACCCCTACATCTCTTCTGGGTGGCCAGGAAGTGGCTCAAGGGCCAGGACCCGTCCCATCTGGGCACCTGCTTCTAGGAAGCCAGGCCAAGCAGGTGCTGTCTGCTTAGCCAGGCCCCGCTGGAGAGCGAGAGGCAGCGGAGGCCTTGGGAAGAGTGGCTGGTGGCAGGAAAAGGAGCCCCCAGGGACACAGGGATGCAGGGCACCTGCAGGAGCAGGAAGCTGTGAAATGGGCTATTAATAGAGTACTCTTCCCGGCGGGGCTGTTGAACGTGATTAATGCCACCACTGTGAGCTGAGCTGCTGTCTGCCACCAGCTGGGGACAGAGGGGACACTGAGGAGTAGACTGCACTCTGCTGGGTGGGCAGAGGAAGGCCAGATGTTGGGGAGTCTGATTGGAAGTCACCACGCCCCCGTCCATCAAGACGCCTGGGAGACAGCGTGGACTGAGGGCCCCATGTGGGCCGCATGGGGTGAGGGTCCCGTGTAGGTTTCCCCGGGGTAGGTACTGGACAGGGGATGACTCTGGCTTTACAGAATGTCATCTTGCTGCTGCCACCAGCCAAGTGTACCGTCTGGTGTCAGAGTGCCTGACACTGTCTGGTCCTTGCTGCCAGAGAGCCAGCTGGAAGCCCCTGGGGATGACATCCTGCCTCTGGACTGGGAGGAGGCTGGCTTGGATGGGCCAAGTTGCTGCTGTACCCCTGCCCACACCCTCCGTCCAGGCCAGGCTGCATGTGTTCCAGGACCTCACATTGGTGTAAGGTGAGGCTTGGGCCTGCGGATGTCCAGTGGTGCAGGGGACAGAGCATGGACTCGGGGTGACCGTGCCCAACTCTAAGATGCATGCTCCCTGGCTTGTCAGAGGCAGCCCTGGCTTGCTGACTGGTCACTGACCATGGGATGGGCAGTGGCTACTGTCCCACTGCCCTCACTGAGAACCCTTTGGCACTGGCTCTGTCCCTGGGGGGACAGGCAACACTGCCATGGGGTCCTGCTGGGGGAGGCTGGAGGGAGCCGACTCATGCTCCCTGATAAAGTAAAAATAGTTGGGGAGGAGGCGCCCAGACATGCGGGGGGACGCGTCGCTTCTCCCAGCCGTTTAAATAATCTCGGCCATATGTGTGTGGGCCCATCCCTCCCTCCCTCCCAAGCGGTGCTGGGCCAGGGGCAGGGCTCCTCCCAGCGGGTGCAGCCGCAGGACTGGGGCAGAAGGCCGCCTGCTCGGTCCTCCCCTGCACCCCGGCAGTCTGAGCACCTGCTGTGTACAGTGCTGGGTCCCAGCGAGCGGGGTGGGGTGGGGCAGGGTCAGCCTGCAGTGCTTCACAGATAGGGCCACTCTAAGTGGGGAGGACACGGGTGCAGAGGAGGGAGAGGCCTGGGGCACAGGCCCGGGGACTGTGCTGTGGTGCCCTGCGGGGAGGCGAGAATTGTCCAGAAACTGGCTGCATCTTCCCTGAGTTGGGCTGTACAGGCCCTGTGCCCTGCTGTCAGGAGGAGGGCTGCACACCTGCAGGTGCCATGTGTGTGCATACGTGTGTATGTGTGTGTGTGTGTCTGCACATGTGTGTGTCTGCACGTGTGTGCACCGCCAAGCCCATTGGTGTCACTTTGTGGATTTTGTTGGAGGATTAAATTGATTTTCCAGCTTTCCCCGGGAGAGGCAGAGATGCTGAGCTGCTGCTGCCTCTTGTGGATGGCAGCCAAGGCCAGGTCCCTTGCTGCCATAGTGTGACTGGTCCTCGGGCACCACCACAGCATTGCTGGTGCTCCCTCCTCTGCATGGTGTCCTGTGCAGACTTGGGGAGGAAGGGGCAAACCTTTGCACCATGGGGAAACTGAGGCATGGGTGGGTGATACTGCATGGCAGGTGGGCCTCTGCCCCCCAGCAGGCACCTAGGCTAGGCTAGGCTGACAGGAGCCCCATGGCCCCCCATGTCCTTTTCCAACTCTAGGGTGGCATCATCTACCTGTCCTGGGCATGAGGGTACCAGTGACTGTTTCTCTCACCCCCAGGGCAGGCCCTGTGCCCTTGGCCTCCTGTCCATCTGTGTCTAGTAGAGTGCCTGCTGGGGATTGGGGGGCAGGTCCCCAAAGAGCCCAGGCTCACAGGAGTCACAGCACACCACTGAGGGAGGGCCCAGGGGAGCTGTGGTGGACAGGGTCCCTCCCTGGTCTGGTTGCAGAGCTGGTGCCAGCAGCTGGTCCTCAGTGGCTGTCGGTCCTGCACTCCTGGTCCAGGTCTGCAGGAGACTGGGCTGCCTGGGTATGTACCATGGCTGAGCAGGGGGCCATGTCCTCTGGCCATACTGGTTTCAGGGTGGCACAGTTGCCCAGGGCCAGGCACTCCCCTGTGATGTCCCAGTCTGGGATGTCGCCTCACTTGGCCATGGCCACTGCCTATGTCCACCTGTCCCTGAGTGTCAGAGTGGGTGGGGGTCACCTTAGTCCCCAAGTCAGTGGAGGGACCTCCCTGGCAGAGCTCTGCAACGGACAGATTAGCTGGACCTCCGCCTGCCTGGTCAGCAAAGGATTATGGCCTGGGGCTGCTGAGGAGGAGTTGGGTCAGGGGATAGGGACTCCACCTGTGCCCCTCTCAGCCCCTCCCTGGGTGAATAATGAGACAGGATGTGGGCCTTGTGGAGGTGCAGGAGCACCCCCAGGCTGGGCCCAGGGCACCCTGAGGGCAGAGGAGAACTGAGACTTCCTGATCTGTCTTCCATGGGCTCAGAGCAGGACATGAGTGCCCACTGTGGGGAGGGACATCTGGTGCCATGAGGTAAGGCGAGAGGGCTGCAGCACCTCACCCAGACTTGGAGGCCCTGGTGGCTCCCATGTTTCCTGGTACTTGAACTTGTGTCCCAGTCTGGCTCCCTGGGGCTCCTCGGGTCCACACATAGGATTCTAGGGGCTCCCAGGAACTCCCAGGACTGCAGCCCTTTCTTGTCTCGGAGGCAAAAGCATCCCTGATCCGATTCCAGCAGAGGGCAGGCTGCCTGCTGACCTCCAGCCAGAAAACAAGGCAGGCCTTTGGCCAGGGTCCCTAATTGGGTCCTGGGTTTGGCTTTGAGTTGATTCCATCAATCCGGCCGGGTGGGTCCTGGCTGTCTCTGGCCAGGGTTCTGGTTACCAGGGATGGAGGGATGGCAGGCCTTGGACAACAGGGTGGCCTTGGGCGAGAGGAATAGACAGCCTCATCCCAGTGGTGCTGCCTGGGCACGTGGTCAGCACAGGTTCAGGCCAGGGAAGCGGCTGGGGTAGGACTCTGGTATTCCCTCCTTTCACCAGGGCAGTCCACTACAGCTGGTCACCGCTTGTAGCTGGTGTGGCTCGCCTGGGGTTCTGGGGCCCCTGCTGGTAGATGGGGGATCCTGCCCAGGTCAGAGGCCATCAGGAGAGGCACCCTGCCTGCTTGGCAGCCTTGGGGTACAGTGCAGTGACAGATATGCCCAGGGTGTGGCTGACTCCAGGGCCCTGGCCCTGTGGGCGAGGGGAAAAGGGGTGGAGCCATACAGCCCTGGGCCTGGTGTGAGGTGAAGGGGAGGGGCTTGGGGACCACACCATCCTGCCTGTGCCAGGAGTCACAGCAGAAGAGGTCCTGCTCACCCTACTGGACAAGGGCCCTGCATGAGGGCCGCAGAGGAGGTTCTGGTCCTGGGCCTGGGCTCTGGGGCTTATGTTCCTGCTTCCATCCTGCCTCCAGTCTCTCTTGCTCCCCCGGGACAGCAGGGAGCACTTAGAGGTCCCTGTAAGTGTGAGGGATTGGGGAGGGGGCAAGAGCCTGGCCCAGGACAGAGAAGAACAGACACCAGTCTCAGGCACCGGGGTGGGCAGTGTGTGGGACGCACCCAACAGAGGTCTAGTGCCCCACCACAGGGTAAGCCATGGGTCCATCCTCAAGGCCTTGCAGCTGCATCCCTGGGGCCCAGGAGATTCCGCCTCTGTCCTGCTGGACATGGACCTGGTGGCCTGGGCTGTCAGGGTGACCGGCTGCTCCCCTGGCAGCTGAGTGTTCCCTTGGCCTAAATCCTCTGGGCAGCTGGGATGGAGCCTAGCGGGCAGGATTAGTGTGGGGATTGGAGGGTGGGCAGGGCGAGGCCAACATCACCCTGCAAGCTCTTCCTGTGTCCAGGGACCCTGAGGGCAGGCAGGTTGGCCCAGGGCTTCAGGTGGTGGTCAGACCAATGCCAGGGGCTCCTGGGGATAGCCTTGGGTGGGGTTCAGGGGACTGTGAGAGGGAGGAGGACAAAGCAAAAGAGCAGGGGAGCCCGCATCCAGCACTATCGCTGCCTGCCCTGCCACCCAAGGTCCTCTGTGGCCTCTGAGAGCTGGAGCCTGGCTGTCATTTGGGGATGCCTGGCCCCCAGCCATCTGCCACCAGCCGGGGCACAGGCGCCGTGGCCTGCCTGGCTGAGGTGCTCCTCTGGGCTGGAGGGAGTGTGGTGGTGTTGCCATGCTGGCAGCTCAGTCCACTAGGTAAGGGGATGGGGGCAAGGCCTGGCTGGGGATGGCTGAGCCCTGTGGGTGGGAGACCCTCCATGTGGACCCTGGACTCTCCCTCCTTCCAGCCTCCTGCTCCCTTGGCCTTCCAGCTGTGACCCCCACATTGGGCTGTGGTGCTGGGGGAGGGGTGTGTGGGCCAGTGGAGCCCAGCTCAGGCTTCTCTGCTGCACAGGCCTGGCTCCAGCTGGCAGAGGGTCTCCTCTACCTCCTCCTGGGTTCCTGCCACTGTGCTCCTATAGCCCCCATCTCAGCTCCCACTGCTCACGCG